CTTCGTATAAGCGGTCGCGAGGGATGCCTAACTGCTCGGCTCGATTAGCAGGAGTAGAACCCCACCTCTCAATCACCGGCTTAGCGGTAAAATAAGCCAATCCTGCTCCAATCACAAACTTTAATAATCCCGCAATAGCGGGCTTGGCTAATAATGCTAAAAATGCCATAATTACTCTTCAAACCCAATACTTCTAAAAACACTCCTAAAAACACCTACACATATCTTATAAATGAGATATAAAGCTACTAAAAATCCGCCTAATCATAAACCATTATTTCAACTAAGTTTGTTAGGAAGGTGGGATTTTCAACCTCCCTTGTCAACAGTTTTTAAATCTGCTAAATTAGTCTCTATTTCCTGTAATTCTTTCATCTTTTCTTCTTTTTGTTCTAACTTCTCTTTGGCTTTTTCATTCTTGTCGGAGTCAGAACTAGCAAGGATTTCCTTACGTTCTTTCTCTAACTGCTTTACTTCATCTTTGATTTCTTTTTGCTTAGTTTCACCTTCTTTTATGGCGACTTTTATTTCTTCTTTTTCTAGACCTTGGATATTAGGATTGTTGGCGGGACAATCAATTTTGCCTGCTATGAATTTGGTGTAAATGAAGTAGGCGGCTACGGCTACTACTAGTAATGGGATGAGGTTGAGGATCATATTATTTAGTTAATTTACTCCGGTTAGGAGTTTCTTGGGTTGCATTCATATATATTTATATTTTAACTATATACTAATTAAATGTCATTTAACTAACTATTAACTAAAAATATATTATATAAAATGACCTGAACCCTCTACAAACAATACCTAGAATCTAAAATCCTCCAAGAGGAAGAAGAAACTTATCTCTTACATCCAGAAGCCAAGAAGAAATACTCCCCTAACGAAAAAGAACTCCTCACCACTCTCACCAACTTAATAGAAAGCATAGACACCTCCCCTTACCACTCCTCCTCTTACTCCTCCCTAGCGAACAAGATGAAGAATATCATTCTTTACCTGATTTAGACTTATACACCTCCGAAGGCCAACTAATCACCTGACCCCAACTCTTCCCCAAAAGAGAAGAAGTTCATTTTGGCAAGAAAGAGGATATAGAAAGCGAGATATCTGCTAATACTTGAAAAATACTAGGACAAATTTTTAACGACTGAACCCTCCAAACCACCAGAGCCAAAAAACTCCAAAGCTTCCTCACCCAAGAAGAACTCTTAAAACTCATAAGTGAGGCTTTAATAAATCTCAATTACGAGCTAATCAAACAAAAAGGTTATGACTCAATAGTTCATAATTGACTAAAAGAGTATGAATTATTGGAAAAAGCAGAAAAAAAGCAACTAACTAAGGAATATGGATTAATGAGTAATTTATTAACTAGTTGAGAGGAAGTTAAAAAGCTGAAGGAGAGTTATTCTTGGTATCAGAAAGTGTCTTGAAAACAAGTTTTATGGTATGGGGGAGGGGGATTATTGATGGTGATAGTGGTGGGGTGATTATGACGTAAATTCAATGACTAAATTATTCTACTCTCACTCCTCTACTCCCTGTTCCTATTGCTATTATTCTTACCTCCACGCTTGAAAATATTTACTAACTAATCGCTCTTGTCCTTACTGTAATCAATCATTAGTCCATTATTATGGTGACGAGGTATTATATTGTGATAAAGAAAAAAGAGTGTTTAAGAAGTAGATGTCAAATTAACAGCAAAAAGAAATACTCAATTATTGTCCGATAGGAACAGAGAGACCATCAGGACAAGAAGGCAAACTAATATGCTAAACCAATTAAAATCTTTATTAGAAAAACTCAAGTCCAACCCTAAGTGACTTATTCTAAGTCAAAACCAACCCCTCTTAAGAGATGCCCTAGAGAAATTCATGTTAGATGAATCCTCCCTCACCTCCCTCAACAGCCTAGATTATGGAGTTCGAAGGGGACAAATAGAAACTAAGGAAAAACTTTTAACTGATTTAAAACAAAGAAAAGCCCTCCTACCAACTGAAGGACAGGAAGAGATAAATCAGGAAATTAAAGAGCAAGAAGAACTCTTGGAAGAACTAAAAAAGCAAGAGCAGAGAGAAAGACTTATCTGGGAAAGCCAAGTCAGGGGGCATCAAGAGAATGTAGATAAATGCAAAAAAGTTTTAGAATGATTACCTGCTACTAGTGAACCTGTATCGGAGGAAACTATTAGAGAAGATAAAGAATTCTTTACCCAACTATTAGAAATATTAGAAAAGGTAGTAAAAAAGTTGGAAGAACAGGAACAATTAGAAGTAGAATTACAGGAAGTTAAAAGGGAAAAACAAGATTTAGAAACTGAACTCCAACAACAAGCCTCCACCTTAAACCAA